CCCCCCCCCCAAATTAATACAAACAAAAAGCCGGGGAGAGAGAGTGCTCGCCAACTATAATTCTCCAGCGCAACACAGCGTTTCGCTGAGTGGACCTGTCTTCCAATGAGAGCGGCTATTAGCTGATTGTTATTATTAACAGTAAGAATGGTCATCATTTCAATATTTATTGTCTCTACGCTCTCCCTGCTTTGTATGTTATAAACTGAAGATTGTCAGGAGTATTTATAGTACAATAGAAGCTTTATTGTTAGTGAGTCTGTTATTTTACATGCTGTTCGGTATGTTCTCTTTGGCACGGGCCTTAGAAGGAACCGAATATATTAATATTAATACCTAAAAGCTACAGCGCGCCTATGACAAGACAGGATACTCTGCACAGCTCGCTGGGTTACGTCTCTGTCCGTTTTCGATAGCAGGCAGAAGCACAGACGGGTTGAAGCAATACTGAATTTGTTTTAACAGAAACACTCCAAATAATGTTACTTCAAGTCCTACATCCAAACCGGTGACCACGACCAAGCCAGTGGCCGCCACAGGGCCGGTGACCACCACGACCAAACCAGTGACTGTGGTCAACATGCCGGCCTCAAAGCCGGCTGCCTCAAGACCCTCAGCTGCAAGACCTGTGCCTGCCAAGCCCGAGGCCACAAAAACGGCCACGGTCAGACCTGCAGTGGCCGCGAAGCCGGTGGCACCCGCGAAGCCGGTGGCACCCGCGAAGCCGGTGGCACCCGCGAAGCCAGTGGCACCCGCGAAGCCGGTGGCACCCGCAAAGCCAGCATCTGCAAGACTCCCTGCCGCCGCCACCAAGCCAGTGGCCACGAAGCCTGAGGCCCCCAAGCCCCAGGCGGCCAGGCCAGCGGCCACCAAGCCAGCCACCGCCAAGCCCACGGGTAAGGGAGCCACTGCCCGTGACATCCTCGGGCGCTGTGTCCTGGGCGTGTCCCTCAAGGCCTGTTTGCAAAGCAATAAAAACGCAGTCACTGATCTGGGACTCACACATCTGGGTGATCTGTAGCCTAAAACGGGGGTGGGGAGCCTCTTTTCTGCCAGGGGCCATTTGGATATTTATAATATCACCTGCGGGCCACACAAAATCATCAACTTAAAAATTAGCTATGGAAAAGCTCCTAGATTTATTGAATTTCGAGTTCCGCCTGCGGTTGCCCAGGCAGGGCCAGACCCAATGGCAGGGGTAGGAGGGCTAATGGGACCCAGGGTGTGTTATTTTATTTTTTCTCAAAGAAGACGCTAGAAGATGCTATAGAGCGTCACAGACTGTACGGCAGGGAGGAGGCAGAGCGTCTGCGCTCGTAGAAAGCTCACGGGGACAGTCTCCGTCCGATGGACAGAGCGAGGGCAGCGATCCCTGTAGAAGATTTCAGGTCCTGCCCTGCGGTCTCGTGACTCAGCATATTTTAAATCGTGGGGCTCATTCTGTGGCACGCGGGACCGTGAACTTTCAGAGCGTCTCCTTAACAAGAGAGACTCTCAGAAGGAAAGGGGTTGGTTAGCGCGCTGGCGCCTGAGGCGCGTTTTCACGACTATGACCCACGTCACACCCCGTCTCCGATGGCAGACGACCAGCGTTTCCCGGGAACTTGAACGGGAAACGGGTCCCCTGCCTACCGACACCTGTCGCTCAGCTTCCGTCTCTGGCCTGCGTGTTTCCGCCGCGTGGGTTTTATTTACCTCCACGCTGTGTTGGTCTCTCCCAGTCAAGGCCGCCCGGGAGGTCCAGGTGTCCGAGATCACCGAGAACAGCGCCAAGCTGCACTGGGAGAGGCCGGAGCCCCCCAGCCCTTACTTCTACGATCTCACCGTCACCTCGGCCCACGACCAGGCCCTGGTGCTGAAGCAGAACCTCACGGTCACGGACCGCGTCGTCGGGGGCCTGCGCGCCGGGCACACGTACCACGTGGCCGTGGTCTGCTACCTGAGGTCCCAGGTCAGGGCCGTCTACCACGCCAGCTTCAGTACAAGTGAGTCTGTGGTCCGCTGGAGAAGGGTCGGTCCCTCACTTGGACATAGATTATAGACGGGACCCACAGGGACCAGTTCTCGGTCCTCAGACCTGCCCTGAAATAAGCAAAATCCTTTATAAACGAGACAAATGCAGGACAGGTTCCTTGTGACCTGTTGCCCGGCCTTTGGGGGTCCAGGCAACTTTATAGAGGGAGCCAGGTCCATACGGCCTGGGGGCTGCCCCTTCCCTGGGAGGAGGAACCCGGCTGGACCGATGCCCGCGACGTCCACCTGTCAGAAGCATTTTCCACGTTCAGTGAACAGAAAGCACCCGAGAGAGAGTCCCTGGCTCCTCAGGGAGTAAGCGAGGCGTCCGGGGCAGCGTCCCCCTCCCCTGCCCCCGGGCTGGGGCTCTGCCCTTTGCCCTCTGTGTTCCCCGGGCTCCCCTGTGGCCCCGAGGCCTGGCCCTGCAGCTCCTCCAGCCTCTAAGTTACTGACACCCCACCTCCCCTCTAAGTCCTTCTAATCTCCCCTCCCCCCAATTCTCCTTGACCCCGAATTCTCCTGGGGGGTGAGGGGTTGGCCCACCTTCTCTCTCTCGGGGCCAGTGCTGTCCAGATCAAGGCGCTGTGCTCGAGGGGAGGGACCCCCACCAGCCACCTCGTAATCCATGGAGATAAGAGCCCAAAGACCCTTCCGCCCTGGGACCCCCTCTCTTGCCTGGAGACAAGAGGTTCGGTGGGAAATTGAGGAGATTTGTTCAAAGCGCAGAGACTTGCTGTTTGTTGAGATGAACGGAACCAGCAGACGGCAGACATCAG